TGATGTAATCAATAATTAAAAGAAGGTTCTGAGTTGTCCAGAGAAGTACTCTCCTGTGAGCCCAATATTTGTACTGAGCAATTACTGACGAGTAAGAAGGGACATCACTAAGGTACTTCTAGACCTTTATGGGAAACACCACCACACCTTTTGTGAAGTCTGGGATTAACAGCCTTGTGGAGTTTTTGGGAGAGGCCAGATGCAAATGGAGATAAGGGTGACCTAGTGGATCCAGTCTACCTAGATTTCCAAAAGGCTTTTGTCAAAATTCCTGATCAAAGGCTTTTAAAGAAAATTACACAGCCATGGAGTAAGCGGGAAGGTCCTCTCATGGAAGAGTAACTTTAGATTACAAAAAAAGAAACAGAGGGTAGCATAAAAATGGTCATTTTCACAATGCCAGACCTGTACCATTCTGTATAGTGATAAACGATCTGAAAAGGGTTGAGTAGTAAGGAACAAACTTTGTTGATGAAACAGAATTTGGCAAGAAAGTAAGGACTTAAGCAGCCTGCAAGAAATTGCAGAAGAACCTTGTAAGACTGAATGAGCAATCAACTGGTGGATGAATTGAGCATAAATAACTCAAAGCAAGTTGCATGAGGGAAACACATCCTAGCTTGACATACAGAACTAGGGCAAGCTTGCAAAACAGGCTTGCAAAACTGTAACCACTTGGGAGATAGATGCAGTTACAGGCATGAAAACATCAACTCAATGCTTGGGAGCAGGGAGAAAAAAAAACCTAAACAATGTTACGGGCTACTGGGAAAGCGGCTGGACAAGACAGGGACTTGTTCACATGCTTTTCTCCTTTAAGAACCAGGGGCCACCAAATGAGGATAGTGGATCATGTTCAAACCAAATAAAATGAGGTTGATTTTCACAGTCAGACAAGTATTACTGATTTAATCAGACAACTCAGACTTAAGGAAGTTCTCATGCTGAAAATAGCTGGATGTTTGAAACAGTACTGTGGGGGATATGATATATGCCTGCACTGACTCTACTCCTCCCTGGGTACCTGCCTGTAACTTCTACTTGTTGCTGTTACACATGCGCTTCTCAGCATCAACTTTCCTCAGAGATGCCAATGAGCCTCCAGCCTTCATTTTTCTCCTTTTTTTCTGACTTTCAGAGCATATTTCAGCAGTCACATAGCGCAGCACTCACACTGTGCAAAGCATCAAACTTCCATGGCCACATCCTCTGTGCATCTGGTGCAGCAGTCCTACTGTTTTTTGACAGGTCCCTTGACAGCTTGCTGTCTTGATGAACTCCAAAGGCACAGGTGAGAGGCAGATTAACCTGGCCAAGGTGGATGTACACCTCGGTCTGGGCCAGCAGAGCCATTCCTACAATCATGGGTGGAGACTTGCTCTCTGCTGCTTATGAGATTAGTCAGAAGCTTTCCAGTTCCTATGCTTCAATGTGCCTTGTAGTTGCATATTGCAAGCTGGTGTTGGTGGTGAAAGATGTAGTCTGGCCCTCTCCCTTGTGCTGGGTCAAGAGTTCATGCAGCAAACCAGTCAAACAGAGTTTCAACTCAAAAGTAAACTTTCCTCCCTCCTCCTGGTTTAACTCAGGACTGATCCAATGCAGCCCAAGGTTGCACATGCCTGTGACAGTATGAGGAAATGGTGTCATTGAGCAGTCAGGTTAGGGGAAAGACTAGTCTACATCTCTTAGCTGCAGCACGTGCTGGAGCTGTTTGCGAAACCATGCCATTGTGCACATATATTACACTGATTCCCAATTCTCAAGTGCTTTCCTGAATGTGGCACTAATTATTTTTGTAGCACCCAAACATTAAGTGAGCCATAGTTGGGGAGAGTTTTTTGTATCTCTTGCTGTTTGAATTGCAAAGTTGACACTGTTCAGGAATATATTTGTTGTTAGCTGAAGCTGACAATCTTTATACCAATCAATCCTGCCTGATGGCACAGTCCCAAAAAAGGTTAAGCAGCCAGCATCATCCTCCTGGGCTACATGTTCTTGCCCCATCACTACCTGGATGCAAAGGCACATAATTGTCAATTCAAGGAATTGATTCAAATTGGTTGAATTACTAGCCTGGTCTACCTACTCTGTTAATCGAAGCAAACTAATCTATACTAAATTCAGGATGAGCATTTACAATGCAGCTACAAATGGGGAAATTTCCCACAATTTATCCTTATTTCAAGAACAAATGACAGAACAAAGCAAAGCAATTCTTTATAAAGATTCCTCATCTTTGTCTGTAGGTTAGTTTTCATTGCACTCAGGTTGCAGCAAAGACACATTTGCAGCATTGTTTGTCTAGAAAATAAGGATCATGCAAGCAATTGGATGCTTGATTAAACTTTTGAGTACCAGTTCTCTTCTTCCTCTCCTAACCACACACCAGTTAGATGGCAGAGGAAGATGCACCTCCCTGTTCCCCGTAAAGACACTAACCCAGATTGTACCACTAAAACAGCAAAGGCAAGGCAAAAAGGACATCAGTAGTCTCTATTATAAAAAGGTATTTTAAGCTCCCAATGAGCAGGGTTTGAGGAAGTAAGCTTCACTTAGATGAATGTGGACTCCTTGAACAGTATTCTCCAAAGTTTGTCACATAGTGCAAGCTCCTTTTAAAATAAATCGTTCTATTAATTATAACTTTTTCTCAAGAAAGCTTTCAACAGCCCTGCAGTAATATTTAACTCTTACACATCATTGACAGACTTCTGCTGTTGCTGCATGTAAGAGATGAAAGCTTCTTCCTTGCAACCTGCTTTGTCAATCAGAGATGAAGGCTAGAAGAGTGAAGTGGTAAAGAGGATCACCTCCAGTGGAATGGTGTAACTGAGGGTCCCCAACTCCAATCCCACCAATGACAGGAAAGGAAGAACAAAAAGTAAGAGTATGGATACAAGCTGTATGTACTTGTATCTCAGAATTGGTGTACTTCTGATTTACTTAGTCAGAAGTGGTGTACTTCTGATTAAATAGGAACAGTAATTAAATCTTCTCCCTCAAAAGACTGGCTATATCAAGCATACTACTTTTCAGTAATTTGTCATGCATGAATCATGAGCAATATCTTTGTGGTATTATATAGACACACAGAGACAATTCGTCACCTTTACAACACACAACCTGTAACCCTTGGACTCCTCACAGAACACACGTAGTGCTGTAATCACGTGAACTGGATGCTCTTGCTTCATGGTGTTCCCTTCTGCGTGTATGGCAGGAAGCACAAGAGTCTACCTGGTAAGATAAAGGACATTTTCATATTGTATTTATCACACAGGCTGATGGAAGAGTTGACAGCAGTTTGTGAAGATGGTGCTACCCCCTTCTTGCCAAATCCTTCCAGTGAACTATGACCTCTTGCATACAATTTTCCAGTGAGGATCACAGAATCCCAAGGGTTGGAAGGGACCTCAGAAGTTCATCTAGTCCAATCCCCCTGCAAGAGTGAGGATGCTGCATTACAGATTCAGTTCAGCACCAAACAATTATTTCCTTTTATTTTTTGTCAGGAAATGGGAAGAGCAAACTGTTTATGCCAGAGAAACATTTGTGTTCCACATTACCTAAGGAACTGTAAACTCTGCTCCTCAATTAAGTATCTGTTTGTGTAAGTTGCTATTTTAGTTTGGACCTCTAAAATACCACCGCAGAACATCCCACTTTCATGATGAGGACCTACTAAGACTTAGTATACAAGACTGTAGCTGGTAAAAGGTTAGCTAGAGCTTAATCCTTGAGATGGGAGATCAAACACATTAAACAAGCCTCTTAATTATGTCTGAAGTAAAAAAGTCCTGTTGTACGGGAAGAATGTGGAAACCAAAAAACAAGACAAAGGATGGAACAGATTAGCACAAATAATAATTTATTATATAAATAATGAACTTCAAGCTGTACAAGATTCTCTAATTCCTGCTACAGTTCATCTATCCCCTTCCTTACACTCCATATAAGAAGTGGTGAATATTTTCTATCTAGATGTCAGTTGTCTCAGAGTACTTTTTGGATTGAGGGCTTTTCTGTTATGCTAACAGGGACTCAGCCTATGCCTCAGATACATCACTTGGATGCAAGTTCAATGTACAACTTGATGAAACATTTGACTGCAAATTTGAAAAAAAACAACAAACCAAACAACAAAAACAAACCCAAAAAACCCCCGAAAGAAAAAGCAAAAAACCAAAACAAAAACACAACAAAAAAAAATTAAATCCTGCCACCAAACATAAACCCATCAGCTTCTCAGATTAAAAGTAAATGTGATTCTGTATTGCTGAGTGGTCAAAAGTAGTGGGTGAGGGAAGAGGACTTCAGGTATTTCAGTGTACATATTCACTGTAGTTAAATTTGCTATCTATCTTGTTAATGTTTCCCCACAGTTCTGAACCATTTGATTTTAGTTATCTGCCTATAAAACAGGGAATAGGGAACAGTTTCACCCTAATGAAATATGTTATTAAGTATTTTTTACCTAACCCATTCAGATACTACACCTATAGTTGTCAGACTTCTGATTTGCTGTTATAATATATTTGTGACCTGAAGCCGGGCAAGTTGTACTCAGCATTTCGAAAAACATGTAAAAGTAGGAAAGAAAGCACCCAACTCAAATGTGTTCTATCTACATACATTAAAAAAAATATTTATGTATCTTAAAAAATACAAGGCGCATTGTGTAAAAATCAAATAGCTAGTCATCAAAATGTTGTTAAAAAGCCTCATTTAAGATCATATACCAGCAAGCATTAAGTAACAGTGGATAATCTCAACTAAAATTTTATCTCAGTGCCATCTGATAACAAGTTCAGCTTGTCAACTTGATAGGATAATCTTACAGACTTCTGCCATGTTACTATTTACAGCAACATAACTTGGAAAATAATATAAAATTATATTACACTAAAGATAATAAGCAGTCTACACCAAGATGGTGAAATGGATTTTTTGCTTCTCTCCTCAGTTTCAAATTAAGCAGGTATACAGAGCAAAGTCCTACATATACAATCCGTTCAGCTGTTTAATACATTACAGTTAAAGCCAAACAAAACAGATTTATCTGTTAATTAAATATACTGACAACACTATGTAACATTCCAGTGACATTTTGCTGCTTAACAACTTTGATATTGAACAAAAAATGTCTTCAACCACAACTCACTTTCAGGTCAGCAGCATTTTTGCAAAGCTTCTGAAATGTCATTATGATTTTTTTTTCCCAGTCTCATAGGACTTTATCTCCTTACTGTTTCTACACAGGGTAAGCAACTGTCAGTTCGCAAATCCAGGCTTCAATGCAATTAACAGCAGAGATGTTTCTTTAGACTCTTGTAGAAAATAACTCTCTTGTCACTTGCATCCTTTCAGCAGTAGTAATAAAAGTTCACTTTTCAAGGATTAAACTCAGTAGGTTGATTTAGTGGTCCCATTTGAGTTTGAAGAGTAAGAATTTGATTTCTTAGGGTATCTTCCTGATGAGAGAGACACCTGCATCCTCCGTGTAGTTCTCACACTTCGGCAGAGAAGAGCATTTTTAAGGTTGTCTCTGAAGTCTTTTGAAATATAGTAATAGATGAATGGATCAATACAACTGTTCAAAGTAGAAAGACACAGCGCAGTTATGTATGACACATACAGATAGCTCTGGTTGTACGTTTTGAGGAGCAAATAGTGCACAACAAGCAGCACGTTGCTAGGTGTAAAACAGATGAGATACATTGACAGGACAGCAATGATGAGTTTGATCGCTCGTTTTCTTTTCTTCCCAGTGCTTACATCTGAGATGGAAGCATTCAGAGTCTTAATCATTAGTACGTAAGCAACAGCAGTGAGGACAGCTGGGATTAAGAAAAGTCCAATTGCAAGGGAGAGGAAATAACTGAACATATCATGAGCCAAAACATTTTCAGGCAACACATCATGGCAGGTAGTAATGTTAAGATTTGAAATATATCTTGTCTGATTAACAAGATACAATGGGATGGTGCCCAACAAAATCAGTATCCAGACAGCAAGGGAGATGCCCAATGCAATTTCAGATTTCTTTCTTGACTGCACTATGGGGTTCACTACAACCCAATACCGTTGCACACTGAGACATGTCATAAAGAGGATGGAGCAGTACATATTTCCATAGAAAAATCCAACAAGTACTTTACAAAGACTTTCACCAAAGAGCCAATTATTGCCATTTACATGATAAGCAATTTTCAGTGGGAACCAGACAACAAACAGAAGGTCTGCCAATGCCAAGTTAACCATATAAATCACAGCAGGATGTTTCTTCGTTGTCCGGAAAAAAAAGACCCAGAGGGCCATGGCATTACTTGGCAAACCAATGATAAAGACAACGATATAGACAATGGGAAGAAAAACTGTAGTCAGCTTTCCTGTGAGGGCTTTTGCTGCAAATTCATCCACTTCATATATCTCTGAAGAGCCATTATTTGTATTTGGAACTTGCCAGCCAGCAAAACTTCTTCCTTTTGAACTGTTGGTTCTACTACTCTCTAAAATATGAAAAAAAAAAAAAAAGTTGCTGTTATCCAAGTACAGACTTTTTATCCTTTACGAAAAATAAACTAGACATCATGATTGACTCTGAGGAATTAAAGAGGGTCTCATCAACAAAAAATTAAGAATGGTTTTCAAACACATGAAAATTTTTCCTCCCTTTACCACCCAAAAGACAACTATATGCCTATTCAAGGATTCTATTAGCAGCCAAAATGCTCTTCCAAATCACTAATGACATTAAAAATACTCTGTTAAAATAGCTGTGAGGTACTCCTAGCATCCAAACAGTTACAATAGACATTGGTTTCAGGGCACCATTATCTATTCACATGGTAGTTCCAGATTACCCAATTGCTGGGTATTGCTGTATGACTGCAGTAGAAGCTTCCTTAGTTTACATAAGCTGAAAAATCAGGAAACTCCTGAAAATCAAGAATGCAGTAAAAGAAGACTATGCTGCCCTCAGACAAGCAGAACTGAAACTCAGAATGTAATGCCAAAAGCTGCACACAAATCATCTCTAGGGATAGAAAGATGTGTTACACCACATTTGAACTTAAAATTGAGCAAACTTTGTGCATGATGATGCAATAGGGCCCATTATCTGTGATATCCTTCCAATTCATGGGCAAGATGGTCAGACAATCTCTGCAGCTTCTACTCAAAAGTGTTAGGTGGTAGAGCTGATAGCTGTGGCTGCTCCACACAACCAACTTCTGACAGCCATTACTCCAATTCTGCTCTGCCTCTTTGGACATCACAGGATCTTACAAACTGTATGGGCAAACCAGCCATTCCTGACTGCTCTTTCTGACAGACTTCAGCTGGCCCAGTTCTGAATCACTCCAGACCCAACACAGTCCTCCCACACTAAAAGGTTAAACTGCAAAAGTAGATACTGTCCGTGAACTTCTATGTTTCATAACGACAGGCATCCACCAAGCTAAACTGTATGGAAATTGCCAGTCTGTGGGAGAATGGTTTTTAACTTTATCAATACTTGTGGATAATTTTAGCCACAAAAAAAATCCAACTGGAGCATAAAGGAGAGTCTTCTTGAGTAAGCAGGTTTTGTACAAGCCATGAACAGTGTCAAAGGATGGTCCCTTTGTTATTCTGCTCACCAAAAAGCCCTGAAGTATTAGTGTATACCTAAGAGCTGTAATAAAAATAGATTGATGGATCTGTGAACCACAGACAGTTCTTAGTATTGCAAGAGTGCCAGAATAAAGGTCTGGTTTATTCCATTTTGATCCATAGTCAAGCTAAATGGATGATTTCAGAGATGTCTTGCTTTTATAGTAACTTTAAGTAGTTTGAGCCTCAAAAGTTCTGAGTGCACATACTGGGCAACTTTCGTAAGCCCGATCAGGACCCATATACGGAGACAGTTCAGTGTCCTGTTTGCATTTAACACTCCCTCACCAAGCAACCAATACTTTAAGGTATGTGCATTTTCTACACCCTTTTCTTACTTTTCCTGCACTTGCAGTTTTCCATAACAATTGAGCCTCTTCCAAGCCGAGTTTCACTCTGCCTGACTCACAAACAAAGAATGCAGTTGACTTGCTAATCTGCCCACGGGAAATGCTTCCTTGGCATCGCAAGGAAAAAAGTACTCTCCTCCCACAACAGACTGTTTCAACACCTTTGCCATTTGTCCAGAAGTTATAACCCACTGCATACCAAACCGAAAGATTATGCTTACCCTGCAGACACAAAAGTGAGAGCAGCACAGAGCATCCAAATTAACAAGCTTAGGTCATAGTAGCAATATCCACACAGGATAAAGGCTAAGATTACAGTGATTCTTGGATCTGCAGCCCGGATACACCACAACCCCGTAATGGCACTAGCCTGTTTGAAAACAGCCACAACAAGCCTCGGGCTTATACTGTATCTCCCTTGGTTTGGATGGGATCATTCTGCTAGCTCATTTTGCCTCCCTGCTCCAGAAGATAAATCGCCAAATTAAAACCCTCAGGTGCAGTACCTCTCTCGCCTGCCCGCACAGGTCACACAGCCAGGCTATGAAGAGGCAGTTCAATTTCAGAAACTCAGGTCTGAACAACTAAGTTTGCAGTTACCTAGGATCTATTCGTTGAGAAAACAGGACCTGCCATAAAGCTTGGTTTCAATATTTACACAACCTTTACGCTATACTTTTATTACGTAAGTAAGCACAGGATGAAAAAATACAGAAGGACACCGTGCAAAGGAGTCCGTAAGTTCAGCAGTGAGGTTTACTCTATAAGGTAGTGAAACGTGAACTTTACGGTACTGAAATATGCTCCTTATTTTCCTTCCTAAACAGCATCTATGTTCAGTTACGTTCAGCAATATAAACTAACATATATAAGAGTTAAGATTTGTTAGAAAGCCTAACTTTCCAGAGTTGGAAAAAAAAAAAAGAAAAAAAGAGAGAACACGGTCTCCAAGGTTTTTTTTTTTATGTTTAGAGACAGCTTTCAGGCAGGTTGTTAGCCGAGAACCAGGTGGGATACAGCACCAATGCGGGTGAAGCCAGGCCACCCGTGCCAGGTCACCTGCGCTCCAGCATACCTTCCGACCCGCTCCGTGCGCCCAAGTCCGCGGGCGGCGGGAAGCCAAGCCCGGCTGCTTTTGCCCGCCGACCTGCTTCCCCCGCCCAGGGAGGAGGCTGGGACGCCCTCCCCACCGGTCCAGCACCCCACAGCCACCGGCCCCTCTTTTTCCAGACCTCTTCGGCTCCGGGAGAACCTGGCCCAGTTCGCTCCGGGCTCCCCACGCTTCAGAAACTATGCCCTCCGGGGCGACTCAGCCCCGCGCCTCGCCCACCTAGAGCCCAGCCGTGCCCCGCGCCCCGCTCCCGCCTGCACCGCCACCGCCGGAGCCCGACCAGCAGCCGAGGGGCACCGAGCAAGCACCCCAGCACCCACGGAGCCCTGTCAGAGCTGGACCATCCCCAGCTGACCCCAGCCAGCCAACGAGCTTTAGCACCCGTCAGCGGCAGCTCGCACTCGTTCTCCTCTTACCTGAGGGAGTGGCGGCTGCCAGCGCACCGAGCAGCAGACCAACCAGGCACAACCCGCAGCGGCCAGCCATCCCCCTGCCGCGCTCCGGCCACTGCAGCCTCTCCAGCACGCCGGACCAGTTTCACCTGATACCTAAGTTAGGAGGGGGCGGAGGGCGCGGTCTCGCAGGTTCCAGCCTGACGACAGGCGGGCCCGAACCAAGCCACATCCCCAAAGACCGTGGGGCTGCCCCTAAAATGGCGGGATTAGTAGTGCCCGCAGGACCGCTGCTCGCCACAAAATGGCGGGGGAAAGCTTTTGCCCCTTCCTCGTGAGGGGGCGGCTGGTGTCGGAGTTCGCCTCACGGCCTACGCCCTGCTCCGTAGCTGAGTAGGTGCCGCGGCTCCCGCCCCTTCTTGCCTACTTCCATCCCTTTCCCCTTGGCTGGTGCGCCCGGGTGGCTCTTGACCGCGGCAGGTGCTCTGTTACCCAAGGGGTATTCGGAGGTGGTACTGGTCCCGGCCGAGCTTCTGCTGGAGAGGAGCGGGCGCTTTCTGGGACACAAGGGCTAGGGGCGAGCTGGAGAGGGAGAGGGAGAGGGGTGGAGGGGCGTTTGGTGGGACAGTGTTACTTCTGCTGACAACACGCTGCTTTGTGCCAGGTTTCGTCCTCCGTTATACTGTCATACGCAGACACGCAGGAAAATGTCTGACAGCTGCTTAACCCAGATGCGTTTGTGGTACCATGGTGGTGTGACCCAGCATAAGAAAGGGGTGTTTTCATGTGTCAGCCTTACTTAAACTTCGAGTACACCAACTTTGTTTTGTAAGTAAGGATTTCAGGAACAAGATGAAGCACAATACAATGCCGTGTTTTCCACAAACATGAATTTCAGAAATGTTATGTTTGTAAAAATCAAGCACACAACTGATCAAATTCTAAAATTAAAACTATATATCCAGCCGTGGTTCACACTTCTAGGCCAGTTCATTTACATCGGTAATGCTTCCTCTGCCTCAGTCTGCAGCTGGTGTTCAGCTGGTGATAAAATTGTTGCTTCTTCTTCCCCTCTACCCCATTTTTGAATGAATATATTATGAATATACTATGTTGTTCTGAAGGGAAAATTGTTCTTTTTTGTGGGCTTTCTGTTACGGTTCTTAAATAGGGCTGTGAGCTGAGGTCTGCATTGTTCCCATTTTACAGATGAGAACTGGAATACGGAGAGATCCACTTGGAATTTAGGGTGTCTGAGTCAACATAAGAGAACTCTTTTTGGAGCTGTTTTTATAAGTTACTCCATACTTAAAGCATGGTTCCCATTTGTCATCCACCCAGCTGAGACCTTAGCTTTCCCATGTTAGTCTCAGCTAAGCACTGGGAAAGTAGTGTCCCATAGCCTGTCCCTCCAGGCCCCCTCTCTATTTCTTTCCGCCTCACTTGCAGTGCTCTTATGTTTACTTTAACATTACAAACCGCTTCATGGCTGCTTAATCTCCTGCTCCTAATGGCCTTGTCCAGCGAGTTGTAGTCTTCTCATCTAGCTTTTTATCTAATCTCCCTTTCAAACAGGCATGTACACATGTGCTGGCTACTGGTCTCTACAGTGTTTTTCCTCTTAGATCTCTATATTAAGGTGTGGTCAGCCTTTCTCTCATTCAGTTCCTCTGTAGCTCTGCTGTTCCGCCAGTGCTCAGTTGCAGTTTTCGTTGTTTGGGGTTTTTTTCTCTGGGTTTATTCCATCCAGTCTGTCTTTTTGTCCACTTTGCATTCAAAGCAGAAAGCTCCTTCTGTCTTTTGCTTGAATCCAGCAACAGTGAAGGGGACTGAGAACTCACAGAAAACGGAATCATTGCTGTTACTAAACAAAATCTGCTCTAGTTGTCCCATGACAGATCAGAGCTGCAACTGGAGAAGTCCTGTGGCTGTGTGTAGAAAGTGGCTGTGTGTAGAAACAAGTGTGACTGCAGCTGCATCTTCTGGAAATGCAGCTCTGGACTTAGCCTCTTTGAGTGTAAGGAAACCATGTTACCAGAGGTTTGTAGTTTGCCTGGGTTTCATAGGGATGTCAGAAACATGTAGTTGATGTGAAGATTATCTCCCTTCAGTATCTTATAAGCAATTAATTAGATTCCCAAGCGTTTAAACATGGACCTTATAAGGGAGTGTCATGCAACTTCAATACCAAAGAACTCATAAACCTGTGTTACAAGAGAGACCTTGTTGTGGACTTTCAGTGCTTGAAGGGGACATGTGAGAAAGATGGGCAGAGACTTTTTATCAGGGCTTTTAGTGACAGGACAAGGTGTAACATTTGATTTTAAAAGAGGGTAGATTTAGATAAGATAAAAGGAAGAAATTCTTTACTTAGGGGGTGGTGAGTCACTAGGGCAGGATGCCCAGAGAAGCTGTGGGTGCCCATGCCTGGAAGTATTCAAGGTCAGGTTGGACGGGACTTTGAGCAATCTAACCTAGTGGAAGATGTCCCTGCCCATAGAATGGAGTTGGAAATGGATGATCTTGAAAGGTCATTTCCAACTCAAACCACTTTATGACTCTGTAATGATCTAAATAACTAATGGTCTTTGGCACTTGTAAGCCATTATTCCTGGTACTCCATCTATACCTAGCTAACAAGGCTTTTGTTCTGTTTTTGTTCTATTTACTTTTACTGAGAAGTTGGTTTTCCTAGGTAACGTTTTCAGCAGGGATAATATCTGTTAGGAAGATTCCTCATTTGTAGGCTACAAGTGAGTTCTGCCTCACAAGTTAAAAAATAGAAGGTAGAAATGCTCTTGCCACTAGGACCTCTGTACAGAGCAATCTCATGACTTAATACTTTTCAGTTGTCTTTATTGAAGGCAAGTGATATGTCAAAGCTGTTTACAGTTCCAGTGTGCCATTTATCAAACAGTTTGGAAAGAAAATGTAACGATTTGTAAATAAACACAAAAAATAGGTTCTTGTTGACGCTTATCATTGGAAAATAATTGCAGTAAGTACAGCTGCCAAGAAAGAATAAATACATGACTATAAATGCTTATTAAACCTTAGTTCTCCATTACATCGAGTGATTTAGCCTGTCCCCACAGGAGCCACCTGACATCATAGAAACAATGAGAGTACCTGGGTACCAAGTTACAGCAAGGCCCTGCTTTTGCAGTGCAGCACCAGGTCTCTGGGTACAATAATCCTTCTTGACACCTCATTTCAGCACAATAAGGGCCTCTATCCTTCCTCCTTGTATTTTACATTCATAAAAGCCCCTGTGCCATCTTAAGCAGTCTCTTCAGCTTGTTTCCCTGCGCCTTTGAAAAGATCTCTGTGTCACCTCCTCAGTCCTTGCTGGCCTTGCTGGCAGGCTCATTAGGTACTAAGTAATGCTTACCACTAATGTTCTTGCTGTTCTATGTGTGTCCAGCAAGCATCCTAGGAAATGAGAGATTATGGGCAGCAGCTGTATATTTTTCTGTTTCTCTGGTAGTAGAGGTCCATTTTATTTCCCACTGTATTTAGGAAGTCAGTTCCATTCCCTCTCTTACCTCATCTACCCCAAGATTATTGCAGGTTTTGGAAATTCTGGCCATGGTAAATATGTGCTTTATAAGCAGGTTGTGCTGATGTACTATTATGTTAATACTTGGGGTGCCAATATGGGTGGCATATTCAGTCATGGCACTTTGGAGTCACTGTGCTGGGGAAGGGATAGGTAGTATGGGTCGTTTAAGGTGGTCCCTTAATGGTTTTTGGGTGTCACCCTTATTTTTCTGACCTTCTGTTAGCAGTGCCTTGTGTTTGCTCCTGATGTTTAGCCTTTAACTCTTCCTATATTTTCACTTTTCTCAAAAGCAAGGTGATCCAGAGCTTGGGCTGGAGGTATGACAGAGAGAAGTGGCAAAAGGTCTAGAACAAAATGTTAGGTATGTGCACTGCCTGTGGGGTAGAAACACATGGCCCAAACCTGACTTCACAGTGACATGGAAGTACAGCTGTGACTTCTGTTTGTCATGACCTTGCAGCAATAGAAGACATGCAAATTTAACAAAACAGCTTGGACCAAGCAGAATATAGAGCAGAGCTTCTGCACTTTTGTTGACAATTGCTTAACCCATGGTACATCTGTCTTCAAGTATGCCTACAGCTACATGAATAAAAGCATGTTAGAGTGCCAGAATCAAGCAATTGAAAATTAAGAAATGCTATAATTTGATCTTATTTTGCAATCTTAATTAAGTGTGCTTAATGTATATGTATTTTGAAAGGGGTTTAGTTGTGACATCACGTCCAGTTTTTCTGTGGTGCACTGCATGGAGTGTGCTCATAAATATACAGATAATCTTGTACTTGCACCTCTGTTTACATGTATAGAAATACTCAAGATACTACCATTTAGCTAGTACTGACTTCTTATCCTGCTGCTGGTGTAAAATGAGGAAGTACTCTCTCTGCGTAGATAGAAATGTAGAGAAAGGGATATGCAAATTGCTTGCAAATCATCAGTGAAACCACTAGCTTAGGCTGAGTTTGTATCTATCTGATGTATGTTAGCACCGTTCTGTTTCCTCTGCTGAGGAAATGGAACAATTGATCATTATTAAAGTAGGATAAAAATATGTAATGGCTCATCAAAATGAAACATTGTTATGTATTGGCATGTTTGTTAGAGTGGGTGTGCCCTTTGTAATAGCAAAGTAGTCTTCAGAGCAAACTGTCTGCAAGCAGATAATAATCTTGCATCAAAACATGGGGCTTAATATAAGGTCAGCAAAAATGAAAACAGGGTTATTAAAGAGCTGTTATGCTTAGATACACATATCTATTTTCAGTAGAAATATAGTGGGGAAGGTTGTGGTGGAAAATTAATCACAGTATTGGTTGTGATGAACTGGGTAAGGATTTTCCACATCTTTCTCTTTCAGAACTGTGTCTCACATAGGAAGTTCATTGATGATTTATTACAGAGGTAACTGTATGGGACTGTTGAAACACCAAATAACTTTTAGGAACAGATCTTTATTAGGTAACCATTACAAGTGGTAACTGAAAATGTTGAAAGTGTTCTGAAACATCTTAAAAGCCCGTAACATTTCATAGAATTATAGAATCATAGAATAGTTAGGGTTGGAAAGAACCCTAAGATCATCTAGTTCCAGCCCCCCTGCCATGGGCAGGAACACCTCA